TGTCCCCGCTGTCCCCGCTCTCACCCTGACCACGCTCTGGCCCTCCGCGGGCTGCACGCGCTCCTCCAGCAGCTCCCGCACCACGTGCTTCCGCTTGGTGGCGCGCGACATCGCGGGGCTGGGGGGACACGGGGGGGGCTCAGGGACCCCCGGCGGGGGGGGAGGGGCGGGGGGGGAGCCCCGGGACCCCCCGGGACCCCCCGGGACCCGCCCGGCCCCGCCCCCACCGAGCGGCGCCCGCTCACCTGCGGCGGCACTTCCGGGTAGAGCGGCGGCGGTGACGTCACTTCCGAGAAGGAAGGCGGAAGCTGAGGCGGCCACGCCCCTCTAGAGGCGGGGTCTAATACTGAGCCCGCCCAAAAGGGGGCGGGGCCTAAACGGAACCACGCGGTGATAAATTAATGGCCGCGTTTGGGGCGTGGCCAGGCCAGAGGGCGGGGCTTCATCTGCATAATGAGCGCGGTTATGCAAATGATGGGCTGGATCACCGAGGGGCTCACGCAAACCAGCTGAAATCCTGGCGTGATGCAAATGAGCGCGGGTTGGGGGCGGTGCTATGCAAATAGGTGTGAACGAATGCAGGTGGTGTGGGCGGAGCTATGCAAATGAGGGTCTGGGATGTGGGGCAGGGGCTTGGCGGGGCCATGCTAATGAGCAGGGCTAGCGAATCCTGTGACGTCACTCCAGCACCGCTCATGCCAGCATCGTTTCCGTGACGTCACCCTCGCCGCCGTGACGTCACCCTCCCCGTTACCCCAATACCCGCGCACGCCCCGCCCTTTTCACCCCGTGACGTCATCACGCGCGGCGCCGCGCTCTCTGATTGGCTGCGACGCTCGCGGCGGCGGCGGGGCCAAGATGGCGGCGGAGCGCGCGGAGGCGGCGGCGGCCGGGCCCGGGGAGCCCCTCAGGGACCCCCGAGCCCCCGAGCGCTCCCCCTACGCCGGATGGGCCCACCCCGAGCTCCAGGCCACGCTCGCCGGCATCGGAGCCCCCGCGCAGGGTGCGGGGAGCGGGGGCGAGCCGTGAGGGGAACGGGAGGAGCCGTGAGGGGAGCGGGACCTGAGGGGAACGGGAGCCATGAGGGGAACGGGATTCGTGAGGGGAACGGGAGCCGTGAGGGGAACGGGAGGAGCCGTGAGGGGATTTGGGGGAGAAGATCTGAATGGGAAACTGAGCGGGTGTCGGAGTCACCTGAGGGGATTTGGGGGAGATGTGAAGGGAAGGGGGAAATTTGGGGGTTAGTTGAGGGGAGATCTGAGGGGTAGCAGGGAAATTTGGGGGTTTCAGGGTTCACCTGAGGGGATTTGGGGGAGGTGTGAGGGGAAGGAGGAAATTTGGGGGTTTTGGGGTCACTTGAGGGGAAGAGAGGAAATTGGGGGGTTTTAGGGTTCACCTGAGGGGATTTGGTGGAGGTGTGAGGGGAAGGAGGAAATTTGGGGGTTACTTGAGGGGAGGTCAGAGGGGTAGGAGGAAAAATTTTTGGGGTCATTTGAGGGAAGATCAGAGGGGTAGGAGGGACATTTTTGGGGTTTTGAGGTTACTTGAGGGGAGGTCTGAGGGGAAATTGGCTGGGTCGGGGTCACCTGAGGGGATTTGGGAGAGGTGTGAGGGGATGGGGAAAATTTGGGGTCACTTGAGGGGACATTTGTGGGGTAGGAGGGAAATTTGGGGGTTTTGGGGTCACTTGAGGGGAGATCTGAGGGGAAGGGGGAAGATTTTGGGGTCACCTGTGGGGATTTGGGGGATTTTTGGGGTTCCCTGGGGGGATTTGAGAGTCCTGAGGGAGGTCAGGAGTCCCTGGGGGAATTTTGGGGGTCCCTGGGGTGGGAAATTCTTGGGGTTCCTTGGGGGGACAGAGGAACGTGGGGGGGGTTGGGGTTTGTGGGGCAGAATTTGGGGATCCCTGAACCCCCCCAATCCCCCCCAGGGACCCGGGAGGAGCTGCTGGAGCGGCTCCAGGCCTACACCCTGCAGGTGAGACCCCCAAAACGGTGGGACCCCAAATTCTCCCCCCTCCTTGTGTCCCTTAGAGGAGGGGGACTCGTTTTTGGGGGGTCTGTTGTGATTTTGAGGGGGTTTCATGGGATTATGGAGGGATTTATTGTGATTTTGGGGGGGCTTAATTGGATTTTGGGGGAATTTAATGGAATTTTGAGGGGGCTCATGGCAGTTTTGGAGGATGTAATGTGATTTTTGGGGGGTTTAATGTGGTTTTGAGGGGGTGGGAGGGGATTTTTGGTGGATTTAATGTGATTTTAGGGTTGTTTATTTTGATTTTGGGGTGGTATAATGTGATTTTTTTAGGTGTCCTAATGGGACTTTGGGGAGCTTAATAGGATTTGGGGGAGTTTAATGAGATTTTGAGTGGGTTTACTCTGATTTTGGGGGGTTTAATGAGATTTTGGGTGGGTTTACTCTGATTTTGGGGGGTTTAATGTGCTTTTGGGGGCATTTATTCCATTTTTTGGGGGGTGGGAGAGCTCCTGCTGCCCCTGCCCTCCCAGAGGGGGGGTCCCCATGTCCTCTCGAGTGTGGGGGCTCATGGGAACCCCCCCAAAATTTGTGCTCCCCCCCAGACTGGGATCGTGCTGAGCCGCCCTGCCCTGCGCCCCGAGGAGGGGGACAAGGCCCCGCCCCCCCAGGTGGGATTTTGGGGGATCTGGGGGGGGTTTGGTGGGGGCAGGAACCCCCCAAGGTCTGGTTTGGAGGGAGGAGGGGTTGGGGGCACCCCCAGGACCCCCAATTTGGGGTGGGGGGGGCAATCCACGGGTTATTTTGGGGGGTTTTAAGATCCATCAGAGCTCCACATTTTTGGGATGGGGGGGGTCAATGACATTCAATTTTGGGGAGGAGGGGCTCAAAATCTTCCAGACCCCCCAAATTTGAGGTGGGGGGGGAGCAATGACACCCAGTTATGGGGTGGAGGGGGGGTTAAAACCCACCCAGACCCCCCAAATTTAGGAGGGGGAGCAATAACACCCAGTTTTGGGGTGGAGGGGGGGGTTAAAACCCACCCAGACCCCCCAAATTTAGGAGGGGGAGCAATAACACCCAGTTTTGGGGTGGAGGGAGGGTTAAAACCCACCCAGACCCCCCAAATTTAGGAGGGGGAGCAATAACACCCAGTTTTGGGGTGGAGGGGGGGTTAAAACCCACCCAGACCCCCCAAATTTAGGAGGGGGAGCAATAACACCCAGTTTTGGGGTAGAGGGAGGGTTAAAACCCACCCAAACCCCCCAAATTTGAGGCGTTTGTGGTTTTAAATTTCGGGGTGGGGGTGATCAGGGGATTCAGACCCCTCCCACCACTGAATCCCGGGGGATGAAATTTTGGGGTGGGGGTGTCCCAGGTGACCCTGACCCCTCCTCCCCCTCCCCAGCTGCCCCCAGCGCTGCCCCTGCAGCACCCCCTGGTGCCGCCCCCTCCCCCCCCGGGCCTGGGGCTCACTTTCGGTCTGGGGGGGCCCGTGGGGGGGGTCCCGGTGCCGCCCCCGCCCCCCCCCGGGGGGCTCTCCGAGGAGGAGCGGCTGACGCTGGCCCAGCAGCAGGCGGCCCTGCTGCTGCAGGAGGAG